TTTTTATGGTTGTTATTTTGAATAAGCAACTAAACTTCAGATTACTGTCTTGTGTAATATAAAAGGTTAGTTACTTTAGGTTTCTGTCTAATGAATGCCCTCTAATATTTTTATTCATTCATTTCAGTTCCATTTAACTTTTACCTTTATTTTGACCTTGTTTAGCCATACTAAATTTAAAAGCTTTTTTCCTGCAATTATAGCTCTTAAATATGATTGTAGTATATTCTACCTAACTCATCCTAAAACACTTATTTTTCTCAAAACTCTTTGTGAACCATTAAAAATTGTATGCAAAAGTGAAGGTGCCACAGGAGCTCATTGAGTAGGGAGTTGACATGGTCAGACCTCTATTTATAAAGATCAGTTTGGCAGCTGAGTAAAGCATAGATTGTAATGGGGAGAGATGCAGGGAGACCAGTTAGTAGGGTGGTGGCTATATAAGTGAAAGGAAGCAGACTGGCTGGAATGAGAGATGTTGTGAAGGTAGAAATGACAAAATCCATGGATTGAATATGTGGGAGTGAGAGCTAGGAGTCAAGGATTTTTTTTTTTTTTTTTTGAGTAAGGTTTTGAGCCTCATTGATTGGGAAGATAGTATTGCCCTCAACAGTAAGGAAACTTGGAAAGGAAAGAATGGTCTTGGAAGGGGAAGGTAATTTTTAAGATACACAAGAATAATTTGGAGGTGTGTAACTGTAGCTCAGCACAGTTACAGTCAGTACAGTCTGGCAACCATCTGCATAGAGATGAGAACCCATAGGAGCTGATGAGATCAGCAAAGCGAATTATGCCAAAAATATTAATACTTTGCTCTGCATTTTAGGCACAAGTCTACCAGAAACAATCTTGATTCATTAAACGTTAATCAAAATTCAAGCATTGATCTGCTTGAGAAAGATGCCTTTGGACATGCCATAAGACTATTTGGTTTTGTTTGTTTTGGTAAATAGCATTTTATTTTTTCGGATCACATATAAAGATAGTTTTCAGCATTTTTTTTTTATAAGATTTTGAGTCAAATTTTTTCTCTCTCCTTCCCTCCCATGTCCCCTCCCCAAGATGGATATGTGTGTGTGTGTGTGTGTGTGTGTGTGTGTGTGTGTATATGTATATATGTATATAACCTATTATAGGTTATACATGTGCAGTTGACATAAGACTATTTGAAGTAACAGGAATCTTGAACAACTTAAAAGGTAACAATATATCAATATGATTTTGAGTTAACATTCTACCCTATCAAATAGAATTGTAGTCACCTCATTCCCTAAAACCTCTCAATATCTTCTCTGACCACTCCTCTCCTCTGATCAGTACTATAATCCCTTCAGAATGGGGAAAGAGTTACAGTACTTAGGTGAATCATAACTCTTAATCCCTTCAGGAATTGGAGGAAGCAATGATTTTAACTGGATCCCTGAGACTTTCCTTTCTTGAAATTTGGTTAACACCTTTAATCCATTTTCCCAGGCCTTAGCTTTTGTTCTTGTCCTTTTACACACTTTTCCTAAAGAGAAATCTGGAAAGGATTTCAGACTACAGAAATAGTTCTTAACACTTTAATTTGTGGGGTGGGGGGTAGGCAGTGGGGTTAAGTGACTTGTCCAGAGTCACACAGCTGGTAAGTGTTATGTTTCTGAGGCCACATTTGAATTCAGGTCCTCCTGACTCCAGGGCCAGTGCTCTATCCACTGTGCCATCTCGCTGCCCCCAATACTTTCATTTGAATGGAAAAAAGTTTTAGTATGCTTCCACAGATAGTAGAGTGGGAAAAGAGAAGGAATCCAGGACAAACATAGCCTTTGAAAATTCTTAGAACAAGAGGACTGGATGTATTGAAGAACCAATAAGGAAATTTGAGAAGGTGCTATGGTACAGATAGTAGGAGGACCAGAGGATAGCAGTGTCATGAAAAGCTAAAAGGGACTTCCCATATCAAGTCAGTTGCTAAGTCCTGCCGATATTACTTCTACAACATCTCATTTCCATTCCTTTCTCTCCACTCACGCAGCAATCACCCTAGTTCAGGCCCTGTCTGCCCATGAACAATTAAATGTCTCCAGTTACTTAAATCTGATTTTATTTGTATAAAAATGTATTTGTATAGAAGGTTTTTTATAATTTTGTATGTGTGTGTGTAGTTGTTGTTTTTAAATAATCAGATATATTTCTCATTTTAAAGCTTTTGTGGTCACGTCTTTCACTCCTTAGCGTTAAGTAATGCAGGTGTTATTTACCTGTATTTTACAGGAAACTGAGGTTTAGAGACTTTAAGTAGCTTGCCCAGAGTCACACAGCTAATGTGTCAGAATTGAGATCCAGTGCTTCTTTCTACTATACCAAGCTACTTCTTATCTATTTAAAAGTTATAAAACCTGATCTACATTTTTGTTTAATCTTTATTTTTTATCTGTCATTCATAGACAGGGCAAATACAGGCAAAAAATAGTTCAAGTGAAAAACATATCAGGACATTAGTTGTCTAGTGTTACTAGTCAGTCAATAAACATTTATTTAGTGCCTACTATGTACTAGGCACTGTGTGCTAAATGCTGGGTTACAAAGAAAGGCAAAAGACAGTTGCTGCCCGGAAGAAGTACACATAAAAAGTAACTGTAAAGGGGAGCGTGATGAAGACCAGGAGCTGGCTGAGTAATAATGAGATGGCAGCCCTGGGCAGCCTCTTTAAATAGAGGATCTTAGTGGGAGGAGCTCTCCAATAACCACCCTCGCTTCTCCAGTCAGAGGGGCAGGAGGGTTCTAAGGATGGGTGAGTGTCAGAGTTGATGTGATCTTGCAGGGAAATGAGTTTCCAGAGACAATGGTGAAGTCCAAGAGAGCAGTCTACTACTACAAGCTCAGTTGTGGGTTAGACCTAAAGTGTAGTTATTATTAAGGATGATTAAGAGATTAGTGGCCAGAGTAAATGAGGTAAGCTCTCTGTGCTTTATTTACCCTGTTTAAGCCATATCTAAAGTATTATGTCCTGTTGGTACCACATTTTATGTGGAATATTGATTGGCTAAGGGAAGGTGACAAGATACTAACTACAAACAATGTCATCATTTACATTTATTTAACACTTTAAAGTTTACTAAGTACTTTGTTTGGCTTTTAGAGCCCCTCATAATCTGGCCCTCACAGATTCTTAGTCTAGTCTTAGTCTTCTTATGGTATATTTCCCTCCATATATTCTGTAATCCAGTGATACTAGTTTCCTTGCTATTCCTTGAACCAGACACTCCAATCATCTCTGAAATTTGCACTTTGAGCATTTTCACTCGTGCTCTCTGTTACCTAGAACCTTTCCTCCTCATCTTATCTTCCCACTTTTCCCTGATTTCCTTCAAGTCTCAGCTAAAGTCTAACCTTATACAAGAGACCTTTTCCAGTTCTTAGTGCTTTCTGCAAAAGGAAAAGGACCTATATGTAAAAAAAAAAAATTTATAGAAACTCTTTTTGTGGTGGGAAATAAATGGAAATTGAGGGGATGCCCATCAGTTGGGGAATGACTGAAGAAGTTGTGCTGTATGATTGTGATGAAATACTATTATGTTATAAGAAAGGATGAGATGAAGAGGATGTTTTCAGAAAAGCCTTTGGAAAAGGTTTAAAAAAAACCTTTTTTCTTTCAGAAAAAAGAACTGGTACAAAGTGAAGTGAGCAGGACTAGAAAAACATTGTATACAGTAACAGCAATATTATATGTTGATCAACTGTGAATGACTTAGTTTTTCTGATCAATAATGAATGCTCCAAGACAATTCTGAAGGACTTAAGATGAAAAATGCTATCCAACTCTAGAGAGAGAACTGATATAGTCTGAATGCAGACTGAAGCATATTTTTTCACTTTATTTTTCTTGCTTTTTTTTTTCAAGATGGCTAACATAGAAATGTTTTTGCAAGACTTCACATATATAATCATTATATTGCTTGCCTTCTCAATGGATGGGGGCGGGATGGAGTCAGGAGGGAGGAAGAGAATTTGGGACTCAAATTTTAAAAATGAATGTTAAAAATAAATATTAAATGGGGGAGCATAAAAAAATTTAGTTCCTTCTGAGACTCCCATTTATCCTGTGTATATCTTGTTTCTTCATATGTAGTTGTTTCCATGTTGTCCCTCCTATTAGACCCTGGGCTCCTTGACATCAGGGTCTGTATTTTGCCTGTCTTTGTAGCCACAGTGTCTAGCACACAGTAGGCACTTAATAACTGCTTTTTGATTTTGACACCCATCCTCTAGGACAGGAAGTATAAAAAAGTACTATTATCCCCATTTTATGGGTGGAGGAACTGAGGTTCAGTGACATCTCCTGGCATCTCCTGACTCCCACATAGTTCCATTTTTTGCTGCCTGACCCACCAGAGGGGTTGAATTTGTGACCTTTTCACTAACAGTATCTTCCAGTCTATTTCTCCACTGAATGAATGACCCTTCCTTAAGCAGCCCGATGCCTGCCTCTGTCTCTCACTCTCTTCCCTTTTCCTCTATATCTCTCTCCCTTCCTCCCCCCTCTCTCTTCCCTCACCCTTTCCTTCTCTCTCTGTCTCCCTCCTCCATCAGCTTTACTCCTACCTTAGGTCAAAACCCTGGGAATTCAAATGTGTACCCCTACATCCAGGCCCACCATGTAAATTGCAATACTATGGAAATAATTTTTAAAGTCCTTTAGTTTTTTCTTGAGCTCATAGATTCTTCTCATTTTGCATTGCTAGCTTTTGGCAAGGGCAAGAGGGAAGGACTAAAGTATATTTGTAAATAGGTGTATGGGATGTGGTTGGGCTAAACGTTTCTTCATGGGAGAAGATGTCTCTGTCAAGCATGTTCCCAGCTTTGGCCCGTTCATGACAGGACACTGAGCACTGCTACAGCTGCTGTAGACAAGGAAGCCATCTGGACTTAAGTCTTCTCTTTTTGTGTGATTTAAAATGAAAACAATGTGATAGGGGACCAAAGTATTAATACTTCATTTTCTTTTCTTTCTCACTCAGGCTGGAGTGAAAGGGACATTGGGAAGATTGGTAGGCATTTTCGAAGTAAGTCAGTTAAATCTTTTAACTTCCTTCAAATTGTTGGGAAATTGATATAAACGCTTTAGTAGCTTGGGTAGGCTTTAAAAAATTCTAGTGTAACAAACTGCTGGGAAGACTGGGAAAAAGTCTGGCAGAAATTAGGGTTAGATCAAAACCTCATATCCTAATTTGTTAACTCCATTGGTTTTGTTTGTACAAAAACTTTTAAAGTTTTTTTGTAATCAAAATTATTTATTTTATATTCTGTAACTCCCTGTTTAGTCATAAATTCTTTCCCTACCTGACGTAGTATTTCCTACCTTGCTTTTCTTAATTTGTTTATAATGTTGCCTTTTACATCTAGGTGATGTATCCATTTGGAATTTTATCTTCATTTATGATGTGAGATGTTAATATAAACCTAATTTCTGCCAGAATGCTTTGCAGTTTTCCCAACAGTTTTTATTGTCAGCTCTTAACCTAGTGCTTAGGATCTTTGCGTTTATTGAACACTGTGCTCTGATGTTCGTTTCCTTCTGGATTAACATTGTTACCCACCCCATTCAAATGTCATCTCTGTTCAAATATTTGATGTCTAGTAGAATTGATAAAGTGAGTAAAGCAGGGGCCATGAAAAATAGAGAAGATATTCAGTTCAACTGGCAAGCATTTATTAATTACCTCCTGTTTGCAAAACACTATGCTAGGCCCAGGGAATACAAAGACAAGAAGATAATGGTCTCTGCCAGCAAGGAGTTTAAATTTACTGGGGACGTGGAGGAAACGGGAAACATAATAAAAGTAAGTGTTAATACATGATAGTTTGAGGAGAAAGAGAGACCACTAATAACTAAAGAGATCGCGTAAGTCTTTCTATAGGAGATGGTCCCTGAGCTGAGCCTTGAAGAAAGCTCAGGATTCCAAGAGGCAGAAATGAGCAGGGGGTTCATTGGAGGCAGGTGAGACAGCTTGTGCAGAGGCACAAAGTGGGAAAATGACACGCCAGTTTGGAGACTAAAATAGCAGGTAGGCTAGTCTGAGAGACGGTGCATCCCAGAGCCAATGAAAGCACAGACATTATAATAGAATCTCATAGTTGGAAAGAGACTCGGGGCCATACCTGAACAAGAATAACCAACAAGTATTCACCTGTCCTTTGCTTGAACACTTCTAATGATCCAAGCATCCCTCTACTTTCCAAGGTGTAGTCCATTCCGTAACCCTTCCTAAGGTCTGCACAATGTCCTAATCATCGTCCTAAGCACAGTCCATCTTTCCTTAATGACGAAGAGGAAACAGATAGAGTTAAGGTGAATATTTGGTGAAGCTGGCCCAGAAAGAATAAGGAATAAGAAAATAGAGAGCTGAGTGGTGAGGTCTATCAGGAAAATATCCTTTAATGCACTCTCTTGGTTCACTGTCTCTGATGATTTTGGCATTGATCTCATTCTCTAGTATTTCATCTGATTTAATTTATGTAGTGGCTTTAGGAATGCGGTAGTCCATGGAGAGGTATAGGGAAAAAAATGTGACCTTTATGCCCAGGCTAACTTAGCCAAATGACTTTATATTCAGTGAAATCTATTTTAAATATACTCTGTGATTTTTAAGAAGATAAGAAAGTAAAGGAAGAATCCTTCTGTTCAAGTACCTTTAACAGAGGCATGTAAGTTTGTTTATTATTATTATCAGCTGTCTGATAGAAGATGTTCTCTGTTTATTTTCCCTTTCCTCTTCAGAACCAGGAAAGGAAGCACAGAACATATGTCTATGTGCTTATTGTCACAGAAGTGTTGGAAGACTGGGAGGACTCAGTCAATATTGGTGAGTTATCCATGCTGTTGGGTGTTCGGAGGTGATCCTGTAAGTGACACTGCACCAGGTGCCCCTTGTACTCTTACCTTAGTAGATGATGCAATCTCAGAAGTATCATGAATTATTTATAGAAAAAATAAGAAAGTCTTTAAAAAGAAAAGGAGGGAGGAAGGAAGTCCTTTGAACTTGAGAGTGAGAATTTTAGAATTTATGTTAAATAAACTAAAATTCCCTCCTATCTCCTCAAAGCCTGGCAGTGAAAAAACAGAAAACAGGAGGGTATATTGAATTTATTTCTAAAATCATCTTTTTTTCTGAAAGGAAGAAAAAAACCTGACTCAGTAATTAATGTTTGTGTTGTTCAACTTATGCCAAACTGTTCTTATTTCTTTAGAAAACAAAACTGTTATCAGGGAGTTTGTAGCCCTCTTAGAATCATAAGATCATCTATCTATGATGTAGAGAAGGGAGGTTTGGAAAGTGAAGAAACTGAGTCCTGCGAAGGTTAAGTGACTTGGCCAAAGTCATATGTAAGTAGTTGGTACCAGAATCAGGATTTGAGTCCCATTCCTCTGACTGTTCCAAATCCAGAACTCTTTATTGAGGAGTCACTCACTTAATAGTCTTAGATTGATCCAATGACTTCATTGTTCTATCCATTCCAGTCTTTATTGTGGGGCAGGCTCTCTCCAAAAGAGTCACTTGATCTTTTGTAAATTGATGTTGTAAGTTCTTCTTACAAAGTCAGAATTCTGTGGGTGAGCAGAGTTATTGATTAATGTCTCTGGAGACAGGCATATTTAAGTAGAAGTGCCATCAGAAAAGCATTGCCAGCTTTTCTGTTTTAAATCACATTTGTGTAATTTCACTGTAGGTGATCCACTTACCAAAAACACTGCCAAACTATTTGCTATGCCCCAAAGATGGCCAGATAGTGAACTAGCGTTGCCGCTGGGATAGAGATAGGACTGGACTTTTGATTTCACTGATATGAGGAGTTCCTGGATGAGTAAACACCTTTTACCAAATCAAGTCAACACTTTCTCTGAAACTTAGGGTCTGGGAGAGTTAGCTGGGGCACTTGAGCAATTAGTTGACTGACATTATGTAGCCATTATCTTACAGAAGTAAGACTGGAACCCAGGACTTCCCTGGGTTGAGGCCCGTTCTCTATCCATGATGCCATACTACTTCTCAGAACAAATATACAAATAAATGTGGGTGAAGTGCCAATGTTGCTATACTTTAAAATTTTTTTTCAATTAACAAAAATATATTTTCTTTCACTCCTACCATACCTCTAATTAAAAAAAAAAAAAAGAAGAAGAAGAACCAAAAACCTTTTGTTAATAAATAAACATGGTCAAGGGGCAACTAGGTGTCGCAGTGGATAGAGCACTGGCCCTGGAGTCAGGACCTGAGTTCAGATCTGGCCTCTGACACTTGATACTAGCTTTGTGACTCTGGGCAAGTCACTTAACCTCAAATGCCTCACAATAAACAAACAAATGTAGTCGAGCAAAATAAATTCCCACATTGTCCATGTCCAAAAAAATCCATCTCATTCTGTACCCGGGTCCCTCACCTCTCAGCAATACATGCTGCATCATTAGTCCCTTGGACTCATGGTTTGTCTGTACAACATTATTGTAGCAATGGCTCTCTCGGTTCTACTCCTTTCTCTCAGCAGCAGTTCATACAAGTCTGTGTTGCCCTGTATGGCATCAGGGGATATAGAGTCTCAAATGTGATATGGGTACTCTTCATGAGCCATGATATCCCAGTGTCATAGTTTTATTTCTGGCTTGAATTAATAATACTATCTTAATGTTATAATATTTAAATGTTTTTAAAATTTACTTTTATTGATAACCTTTTGTTTTTTCTGTCGCTTCCTTCCCATTGTATGAAGTTAGATTTTTTGTTGTTGTTGGCTTGGTTTGTTTTGCTAAGCTGCTTTTCCCTTCTATTTTGTTTTTTGTTAAAATTGTTATCTTAAAGCAGATGTCTATTTGAAATAAATTTAAAAAGCTTTGTTGGGAGTCTTCTTTTTACTTTTTGTTTTACAGTGGCAAGGAGAAACAGTCAGGTAGTCTGTGGGGTCCCTTATCCTGCAAGAATGCTTCAATGCTAAACTCCTCCTCTGTAGACTAGCTATAGGATAAGGAGCTTTTCCTTGCTTCCCTAACATTCCTGTCACTCTTTCTACCCCCCAACAGGAAGGAAAAGGGATTGGTTTAAAATAGAAGATGCCATAAAAGTGCTGCAGCATCACAAACCCGTGCAGGCCTCCTACTTTGAGACCTTGAGGCAAGGCTGCCTGGCAAACAACGGCACCCTGGTTATGGGCACTACATACTCGGTTACCAGTCAGAGCTCGGTGCCAGACATTAGATGACTGAAGACATCCTCCCAAGAAAAACAGGAATTGGAAAATAGACTGAAATCCAGATCTCCTTCCCTCTCCCTGATTCTCTTTGCCCCTTCTCTTCACATGCCTCCTCTTTCAAACAAGGCATGGGCAGCAGCCTAAGACAGAGGAAGTATTCTTTGATAATGTTGCTGTTTGGTATGAAGTGGAGCTTTTTTTCTTTTTCTAAAAAAAATCCTCTTTGGGGGGCTGAGGGTGGGATGGGTATGTATTTTGTAAAGTATATTTTGTGCATGATGTGTTTTTCCCCTTAGCACCACCTCTACCCTCTGATGAGAGCTGGGCAGCTTCTCCTCTGCTTTGCACTCTGAAGCGTTCTTATCTGTCCAATTCCTATCCTGGCCAGACATTTCCCTCTTTTTTAAACTAAAAGATACTAATGCAAGACCATCTCTTCCAGGAGTCTGTCCTGTAATGTACTGTTCAGACCGGCAGGTTGGTCATGGTCAGTGCATGATGCATTTATATACACATTATATAATTGACATATAATATGTAAATAAATGGTTGGAGAAGGACACGTTTAAGAGTCTAATTTTGCAGAGTTTCTTTCAGTTGGAGTGCTTCAGAAGAGAAGAGAGTTTCTTAAGTAACCTGCCTAGTAGGGTTAATCTTTTATTTTTTTTTGACAGTCCTAGGCCAGTTTCCCTGTTCATTCTTCAACTTCCCCACCCTTGGTCATTTGCTGTGATGACCTGGGTGAGGAAAGAGTTGAAGACTTTCAGACTGCCCCTGGTGCTTATGGCCTTCCATCTTCTCAGTTGGTGTTGCTACTGTCAGAAGAAAACATGAAGAACACTTTACTTCTTTTTATATCCCAGGCAGGAGGAGCAAGTCACCCCAGTCTAGATCCAGTGAAAAAGTGATAGAATTGAATCTCAGCCTGCCCTGATGACAGTGGGGATTTGAACTGGAGCTCTTGGGATTAGAATCTATAAAGACCAGGAATAGCCAACACCAATTCTATCCTGCCAGTTTGAAGTTCTTTCCACAGCCCTGTTTGTAGCTGATGAACTCTCTCTCTTTGTCCATATGCCTTATCGTGCTGAACTGGATATCGTATTTGTGCTAAAGCATCTGACTGTGCTTCCCCCAGAGTAGCCGCACGTGTTCCTCCTCTTCTGTGCTAGGACAACCATATTGTGTCCCCAAAAAGAAGCATGTGAAGGGAACATTCATGTGCTCACTATCGTGCTTATGGTGTAGCAGCACTTATAATTTTACCATGGAGCATGCTCAGAATATTGTTTCCTGCTGTGGATATGAAAGGTACAACTTCTGCCCAGAAGTACTAGTGTAGAGGACTCTTAATCATTTATTAGAATAGCTACATAATGTATTGGCACACTTTAAACTCTTTTATTGGTTTATTGATGTTTCATACTGTCAGTCTTTATTTGCCAACTGTGTTTAGTTGGGAAATAAAAAGGAAATGGTTGTGAGTTTGTGGGATGGGCGGGGGCAGGGCATTAGTTAATCCCTGGCTTGGGACAAGAGGTTGTTGCTGGGTTCTTAGTAGCATCTCCTTTGTCAAAACATAGCCAAGATGTGAAATTAAATCTGCAGTACTCTTTTATTTAATAATTCTAATAAATATTTAGACTTTCAAAAAGGGTTTTTTCTTCCGTCCCACTAAAAGAGGAACAAATAAGTCTGGTAGACCTATCAATTTAGTGTCTGACTGGAAAAGAAGGTAGCCAATTTTAGAAGCTTGCAGACAGGAAGATCACAGCAAAGCAAAGCTTTGGAACTACAGGGCCAAGAAGCAATACAAGCATTTTTGTCAGAATACACTAATCCCATACTAATAAAGTAGTTTTTATATCCATGGTTCAGGATTTCCAGTGGTTTGAAATAGAGCATTACACTTTGATTCTAAATGTTGAACTAGATTCTCCATGTAACCATTTAGAAATGAATGTACCATCTCTTTTTAAGAAGCCCACCCCCTACTTTAAAGCACTCCAAGGTCTTGCCCAAAAGAGCCAAGAAAAACAAAATCAGATTGAATCATCCAAGACCTAAGTGACATCCCAAGAACATAAGCCATCTACCATTGCCTTCCAGATCAATTCTGTCTTCGTTCTATAGATTTGCTGTTTTGAAAATCCTGTGCGGAAAAACAGCTGGTACTCCTGAAAGAGCAGCTAAAGTTTTGGTATCAATAGCATGCAGGCCTTTTTTTAAAAGGCATGTTTAACAATATTTTGAAAATGTTGTTACTGGTCTGTTAAATTCAAAATATAAGGACAGAATATTGTTAATGACTGCTGATGGCTTTTTTGTTTGGGTCAGGAAAATCAGTTGTGCCAAGGAAGTATTTTAATGTAGCATGAATCAATGCTATTAATGCCCTTAGCTGGAGGGACTTGTTGATAGGCTCTTTAATTAAAAAATGGAAGCTTTGTCCAATACCCATAGTTAAAATCAGTGCATTGTTGCACCATGCTTGTAGTGAATGACAGTTTTGTTTTTCCTTTCTGTATCACAAATTCCATTCCTGTCCTTTTTAGTATGGATTAGAGATTTCTTGTAATAGAATAGGTAGATTGATTTGATAGATGGATCCATTGACTTTTAACTTCCATAGTCCCATTTCCCCAAAGAAAACAAAAAAACAGGAAAGTATATACGCATACCCAAGCCATCCACGTAATATTTAAGAAGAACATACCCTCTTGATTTTGCTCATATTTTAGGAGCCATGTACATTGATTGTGTCTATTGAATGAATGTCCTATAGAAAAGAGTAAAAGTTGGTTCTTTTTTTTCTTTTAGAATTTTTTTTTAATTCATGTTCCCTTTTTCCCCTTGAAGGTTTGTAGAGATTACAGTAGGTCTGAGGCTTCATTCATTGGATACTAGTAGAACTATCCCAATTTTCTTGGAGGCAGAGAAGAGAGAGAAGGGAGTATATGTGTTTGTGTGTGTGATATACCCAACATGAAACTGCAGTCATTGAATTTACTTTTCCAAAGTCAGATGCCAATACTCTGTCGTACAGAAGATTCACTCACTGTGGCCCTGTGAAGTCAGCAGCAACTGAAATGGATCAAAGGGAGAAGTAACATAAATTTGAGACACGTCAATTTTTTTAAGATTACACATAGTTTTATAGTTGCTCTGCATGATTTCCGAGGTCACCTCGCATTTGCTGCACAGCCCAGCAGTAGAATTGTGGTCTCTGTGGCCTTCCTTCTCAACCCCAAGTCCAGGGCTAGAAAATACATCAGGGGAAGTAACATGAATATAAAGTACTTCAGGAGTATGTTGCAGGAGCTTTGCAATCCTGTTATCTACACAGTCAAGTTCCTCTGTAGTGAAGAAATGTTTTTTCTTTTGATGTCAGAAGTTGGTTAGTAGCCCATGCTAGAATCTTTTACTCAGAAGAAAAGAATAAAAAGAGAGAGACAAGAATATTTTAGTCCTTGTGGTTTATAAGGAAAAGGGTTTAAAAAAGTTATGTAATGGAGACTTTCTTCCTCCTTAGCTCTCCATTCTCTAGGCAGGGTAGTTGCTCAGTGCTTCTTTTTGCCTCCTTAAACAGAGTGCCATCAGTAGGCACCTTTTAGACCCTAGTATGTATTCTGCTTCCTGTACTGAAAAATTGATAATTTCCGTTTAATGCATTGATGCCTCTCTAGAGGTCTGAATAACAGTTTTCCCCCACTTCCTTTTCCTTTTAAATCAGTTTATTCTGAGCCATGTTTACTTTTTCATTTAATAAAGATTTCACAGCCATAGTGTGCTTCTTACCTAGCTCTGTGGTGTTCCAATACTTCTCTAGTGGTCTTGAAGCCTGAGCTGAGAGTATACTTAGTATGTGCAATAGAATATGTAGTAACTTTCATAGTATCACAGTTTTTCTGTGTGTGTGTTTGTAGGGGGAGAGAGCTGAAGGCAGAGATGTGGTACAATCAGTAGTATCCTTTGGTTTAGATCCCATTTGCATTTCAGAAAATAACGTGCATCAAGAAAATAAGCTGGAATACAGAATGATTAACTCAAGCGGCTATATTTGGGGAATTTAGCTGTGAAGTGATTTTTTTTGAAGGTATAGAAATCAAGTATGTTGGTGTATGTCTCTTTCCCCCAACTCCCACCCTCATCTCTACCCCCCCCCCCTTTTTTTCCTCTCCCTCTTTTTTTAATTTGTAAAAAAACGGCAAGGGACTGCTTGAAGCTCACATAGTTTTGTCACACTGCCTAACCACATTGACATTCTGTTAATGTAAACCACAGGCAGATCAGGCTTGCCCCAGAGAGGCATGTGAGGCTTGGAAATTGTGGAAGGGATAATCTTCCAAAGTTAGGCTGTAGTGCTCACAGATGGGTAGCAAGCATATGGACAGAGCTTCATAACATATATGTGCAAGACCAGCTTATTTCAATGTCTGTTAATGGAGAAGAAATCTAAGGAAAAATATGGGTGTTATTTGGCAGTTATTGCCAAATTGAAATTAGAAGCTCTTGGAATCCAGAGAAGCCTCTGAATGTCTTTCCTTTTTCTGGATGTCCCTTCTCAGATACAACCAAAAATGGGAGGATATTCTGGGATTGGGGGAAAGAAAGAAAGAAAATGAGAGAATGTTGATTGTAGTGCTTGTGTATATTGTATTTAGGTGCGCGGGGGGGGGGGGGGGGGGGGAACGGGACGACTGTTGCTAGGTTGTTTCTATCAAGGTCCGGTTAGTGGAATCAGAAATCTCATCATTTCTTACTGGAGACTGACAGCCTTTAATTCTGTTCAGTTGGCCTTTCAGTGGTCTTAATTTTTGGACAAATGCATTCAATTTTTTCACAAAGACTTAGCTCAGAACCTCCCTGGAGATGTGGGGAACTTGCACTTTTCATCTCTGGCAAAATCATGCTTTTCCCATTGAGAAGGACCAAATGCAAGACATTAATTCACCCCATTCTACTTTAAAGAAAAAACCTATGTAGTAGCTTTAGGGCCATTTCATTGGAAGCTTAGCTGCTATTGCAAAAAACCATTTAGTTTTAAGCTTGGGGGATACCATTGATAGCATTGATTTAATTAGGATTTCTAAAAAATGAAATTATCTGTATGGGGCAGGGTGGAGAGACTGATCAACAATTTTAAGTCAGAAATCTACTAATTGACTGATACTGGAGGGGATTCTGCTAAAAAGACAATTTTTTATTTAAAAAAAAAAGATACCGTAAGTTACATGTATGATGGAATTCCTAGGCTACTGTCCATCAGTGATCAGACATTTAAGTTTTTTTCTCTGATTCGTTTTCAATTGAATGTATGTTTTAATTAGCTTTAAATACAAAAGAGTAAGGTAGATATAATTTCATTTTGCTAAGCTTTTCAAATACCCTTTTAATACGCTAATCACATCAAATGCAGAGAGAAAGCTATCTATTTAAAAAACAACAAAACCTTAGGTTGGGGAGCAAAAATATCAGCACAAACTACTAATGTGCTGGTTGTTGATAGACATTAGCCATGACATTTATTCTGTTCAGAACAATATTTGAGTACAGTTAAGCATTTATCTAGGTATTGAATTCCAGACTAGTTGATCTGATCATAATCTCTATATGTGCACCTAGAGCCAAGAATGCTTATCACAGCTTAATAGTTTAACATGTACTCAAAGGATCATTTATTTGCCAGGTGTGTTTCTGGCAACAATTTAAAGAGTTAAGAGGAACTGGGCCAGGAAGGAAGGATACTTGAGTCTTTATGAAAGCTTCTGGAATTTCTTTAAAGAAAACAAGTACTGGGACCTCAAACCACACTATTTTTTGAAGTCTCTGTTACTCCTGGAGCTTAGGATTTGGTGACTTAGCAGTTTATCTAGTGTCGTTGCCCTTAAATTCACACTGGAAATAATCCCAGTGAGAATCTTCCTGAGCAAAGTGTGCTTAGAGCAACTTTGCCTTAGTTGAAAATGATTGCCTCACAGGTGGAGTACTGAAGGTTTTCTTTTGCAGAAGGCATTGACTGGGGGTCCATGTAGTCCTGTCCAACTTGGCATCCTACAGCAGAGCTCTTTTAACTGTTCTCATTGCTGAGTTGTGTACTTTCTGTTCAGAAGTATAAAGCTGATTTTTCTCTGTATCTTGGGTGTCCAAGGAATATACAGTGTTAAGTATACTTATGAAAACCTTTGTTAACATGAGTGATTGGGGTGGGGGACAGGGGACGAGCAGTTGGGGATGGTTTGCGATAGGGGACAGCAGTTTAAGTCTTTAAGGACTAGAAAATCTATGTAAGTTAACATAGGAACTAACATTGAATTGAACCATTCTTAGACGATCCTTAGCAAAGACCAGAGACTTGAAGCAAAAATTAGATCTGTGCTTCCAAAGCCCTGAGGAAGATGAAAATTGAGAGCAAGTTATCTTGTCAGTGGGCAAGAAGCCAGTGTTCTCCCTGAGCTGGTACATGATTAACAAGGCCAGAGAAGGGATGAACAGCTGTCACTTGGGCAAGAGAATCCATCTTTTTTGCCTTGTTCCGCATATCAAGTGGAGCCCCTTTTGCACCAAGGGTTTATCAAGATGACTAGTCCTCTCCAATCTAAAGAGTTTTTATTTTAACATGAGAGCTTGCTTCTGCTCCACTCATTGACTGGAGAGGCCATTTGTTATCTTGATCTGTGGAGTTTAAAATCTTCGGAATTTGTATAAATGTGTTATGCTACACTGTACTTAATATAAATGATTAATTTCAGCCCCAGTAGAGTGTAGTAACTGCATGGGATTGTATCATTTATTAATAAAGTGCTTGAAACTCATTTGAAATGGAAAGGATTTAAATGTAGCTTTGAAAAGATATATGGTTCATTTTATATGGTCTGAAAATTTCACAGCTGGTTTGTAATCAAAAAAATTCTGGATGCTTGAATGTGTATTTGATGGGCCTAATTTCTGGGAGATTTGCCTGTTAAGATTTGCTTTCTCTAAACTGGGAGTATTTGTAGGCTCTTTTCAGCTGGTGGGTTGAACTTCTAAGGTTATCACAGTTAGCATGTCTTTAGAAAAAAAATGTCCTCGCTGTGTGTATCAGATTGTCTTGTGTTTGAGGAAGTGACTGAGAGTATTTGAGGATGTTGGGAACTATTTAAAACAAGTATGTGTTAAGCAAGAATCTCTCACATATTCATGTGTGTCAGAGCTGCACAAGTGGCAACAACTTAATATCTTCGTGTCTTGCAATTGCCAGCCAATCCATTATTTCAAGTATGTTGTCTCTGTCACCATTGATGGCCTTTTGTAAAGGGTAAGCATGAAATATTGAAAGCCAAAAGTCAAGCTGCATGTGTTTTACCGGTATGTGTGTTCTCTCCAAACAGGTTGCTGTCTGTGGAGTAGCTTCTGTGCAGTAGAATACTTGTCACTGTGGATGATACAAATTGTCATTTGCATTATAACACTAGTTTTTTTAAAAAGTGAATCTAGAAATGCCAATCTCACTTTCCTCTGTAGCAGCATTCGGCATTCCCTCAAGGAAGAAATGGCCAGATATAAAGTCCACATGTTTCCTTCTTAGACAAATATGAACAAATGTTTCCAGGAAATATCAGGTTGAGGCAAAGAAGCAAAATGTATTGTTTTGTCCCCCAAAAGGGCAAAAAAACCCTTTCCATAATCCTTTCTCTGCCCATCCCCATGTTTTAGTGGAGGGTCACTGTTGTACAAACAACAACCAGATTAAGTAATAATTTCAAAACTGAATCTCGGAACCCAAAGCTTCCTCATCCAGAAACCAGCGTTCAAAGATCTTGAAGCTGGTAAGAACCTCTGTTCTAACCCCACAGAGCCAATATCTTAAGACTTTGTTGTTTATTTCAGGCCAGAAAAAAAAATGTTTGGCATGTTAATTATCTTTTTATTATGTACTGCCCATGACACATTTGGGGAGCAGAAGGTATCTCACCTGTGGTCTTGGGACCTGTCCAACCATCCTCAGGGCCAGAGAAGGCAAACGCCTCTTTGCTAGGGTTGTGAAAAGAACAGCTTAAAATTTATAGTCTCAACTACCTCTAAAAGAGGAACATTGGACAAGTAAGGCTGACGGAGAGCGCAGTGAACTGTGGAAGCTGAGGAGCGAGGCCAGAGGACTGTGTCCCTGCACCTCGTGCTCCTGATCACTGATTCCAGTCATTGTGAGGTTGGGGTTTAAACCCTTCCTTTTCCTCCCACCCCGTCCATTCACACTTTCCCAAGACAACCTTCATAACACAAAAGTGAGGTGAGCTTTCTGGGGGTCCATTTCTCTTGACTTCTTGTCCTCTTGTGGCATTTTAACGGCTTCTGAGGAAGTTGGTTTAATCTCTCTCTTGGAATGGGAACAATTCTGAAGCCTGTAATATGGAAATGGAAGGAATTGCAGGTTTTGTTTTGTTTTTTCTTTTTTCAAGGTTTTTTTAAGCTTCATTCTTCTTCCCACTTCCTTTTCCCCTTGTGCTAGGCTTGTCCTTTACTGGAAAGATTTGGGTTGGATTCAATGTGTAGAGAAATAGGACTGAATAAGAAAGATCATGAAGGCCAGTTTCAAGCTGTGAACAGTGTGTGCATACACACATGCACGCATGCACATACACACATACCCCTTTTCTACCTAAGATGAGGTGAACATGTTTAATTTTCTTTCCATAGTCTGAGCAATAGAAAGTAAAGCCATCCCTTCCATCTATTGTCTAGATAAAGCTTTGACGCCACCACTAAAAGTCTCCCACCCACATTTTTAAAAAATCCTGATATTAATATGTCTGAGTGTGCAGTTCCTTTCTATGTTAATCAATTTCCTTCAACTTGAGTTTTGTGTGAGGGAAAGGCATTGGAATTGTAGGTTGTAATCTCGTGCCAACAAATAAACACTGGTATTTCACAAACACTTCTGCCTGGTGTCTGTTCTCATTTCTTACCAGCAGTTTCCCAGTTCCTCACAGTTATTCCTGTTATTGTCTCTCTTGAGTGCTCCCTTAGTAGTTGGACCAGCAAAAAAAGGAAGTATCAGTGTGCAAACTCTGTTTTTCAGTAACTCAAACCAAGAAAGGGCCTTGTTGCTGGTAGACATCTAGTTTGGTCAGGACAAGTGGTCTACTGAGGAGAGAGGCCACAAAGCACATTACTATAAGGCCAGAGTTCAAAAAGAGGAAGAAGAATGAGGTCCAGCATAGCTGAAGATGGTTTCATGAAGAAAGTGGGTCTTAGAAAATGGGTTATGTTTAGATAGATGGAGAAGGGAGGAAAACAAGGAAAATTACCAAAAGAAGAAAATGAACAAAAAAACAGGGAGTTGGATATGGGTGTTTGTGAAAAAGTAGGAAGAGTACTTGAGAAGGTGTGGAAGATAAAGTTGTATCATTAAGGTGGGGATGAATTCTGTTAGCTCTTGAAAATCAAGAACGGGCGTTTAGATAATGTGGTAAGAAATGAAGTTTTTTCAACATGACGTGGCATCATGGAACTGTTTAAGTTGATTTATCTAACAGTGAGCAAGATGGCTTTCATGGAAAGAAGATGGAGAAGGAAACCCAGCTAGAAGACTGTTGGTACTTGCTCTAAGGACCTTTCTAATTCTTAAGATTTTTTTTTCCCCTCAGGAAAATTGACCTTCCCAAGTTTGCTCAACAAAGTAATGGTGGGTGTGGAATCTGGACTCACATCTGACTCTAAATTCACTCCATTAAGTCCTGTTAGGCCTGGCCCTCCCAGCCCTCTCACCAATTATTAGACATTGGTCCAGTCCTGGACAGAGAGGTCAAGTTGGCAGAAGTTAGGTTTGGTGCTTTTGGTATTCTCTCACCAGCAGAGAGTTTCCAGTGCTCTCACATTCTCTTGGCTGTTCAGACCTCCCTGCCTCCCTCTCCAGAGGTTTGAACATTGTCAAATCAGAGCTCCTTCCCTCATATGTCCTAAGTTCCCTTCACTCGGAGAACTGCCTACTACTGAGAACAGTAGATTAGCCCAAAACTGAATTAACATGTCACTCAACAGTAAGTATGTTATCTTTATGGAATTTCTGGGCATCACACTTTACAAAAGACATTGATAAACTTCAGATGAAGACCATCAGGATGATGAAGTTTATATCATATGAAGACTGGTTAGAGGAATTAACTAGCCTGAAAATACATGATGATAATAGCTAAAAGGCAAACATAGTGGAGAAGAATTAGACTTGTTCATTTTGGCCCCAGAGGACAAATGGGAGCAGTGGGCTGAAGCTGCTGAGAGGCAGATTTAGGCTTGATGTGGGGGTGGGGGTGAGGCAAGTTAACCAAAAGAATGGACTGTTTTAAGAGATAGTGGGTTTCTTCTCATTGGAAGCAAGATGGTCATTTATTGAGGTAGTGGGGATTCTTCTGGGAGTGTGGGTTGGACTAAATGGTACCTTTCAGCTGTGAAATTCTTTGACATACGGGTTTGGAGTTTTGGGTACTAGCAATACAAATAGAGAAGGGCCAGGTGCAAGAAAAATTGAAGGATCAGGAGAGTGCTAAGGGCTACTATTAGAATGAAGGAAAGAGTTAATGATGACTTAAAAGATTTTGAGCAAGTAAATGGGAAAATAGTGATGTAATTGGCAGAGGAAAACATTCAAAGGGTAGCATGGGTACCAAGAGTAGGGAACCTTCGGTCTCAAGGCAACCTTTGGGATTTGTTCTGTGAAGTTTGGATTCCCATAATGCCCTCCTTGCTATGCATGTCAAGAACAAAAAAGGCCAGGTGGGGCTGATGACCTCTGCCCTAAATTTACCCCAACCCATTCACCACCCCATTCCCCAACCCCCACACTTGTTCCTGTCTTTGTTACACATTCCTGCCAGGAACAAAATCTCTTGTCTCCCTACATATGCATAGGAGACACATAATTGGAAGAACTTATGTTTTGCCTTATTCTGTCATATGCTTTTTTGTAAGTGTAGCCCATTTTAAGACTCTGGTACTCATTTTACCAACACCCACTGTCATTGTTGCATCTAGTCCCCAGAGGTCTGGTTAGCTACATCAGCTCCTCAGGATTTCTAGGGTTATTCCCTGAGGGATTTGGGGTATGTCTTTCTAATGCTCTTAAATCAAGCTCCAATTCCTATATGCGTTCCCCCCCAATTTTAAATATCCAGTACTAGTTAATCTCCTCAATGTCATCTATATTAGTGATAATTAGCTTTTACCAAGGATATTTACTGAAAAGATAGGGCAAAAACTAAACTGGATCACACCCTCCTCTCTACACCTTGGCCTAAAGAGTAAGAGTAGTCTCAGACTTAAAGTGATAACTACATTCTTCCCCCAGTCAGATCACTTCTCAATGCAGCACAGCTGATGGACAGGTTGTACCCTTACAGGATGTAGTGTCTCAGGTGCTAGGTCAATCCACTTCTGGCCTAGCTTGATTGGGCCATTCATCACTGTCCATTACTTCTTCACCTAAGAAAAGGAAAGAATAAATGTAACGGACAGAAAAATTTGTACCATGCACTCATGGTTTCAAGTCAGCTCTACCTCTCTCTCCCTACCTGGAGGCTTATAGCAGTCTTTATCTTCATTACCACCAGACAAAAGGGGTGGTTTTAGTTCATTTGATACACTCACCCTGTTCTTGCCACCATGTATTGGGGCCATCTCCAGTTGTTCAGATCTATATCTTACCACTGGACGTAGATGGTTCAGGAGGAGAAAGTGAGGCTGGTGACTTTGCACAGCCCTCCTTGACTTAAATTCAGTTCATTTGCAAATCATGGCATCACCTTCCTGATGTCATGGTCCTTTTCAAAGGGAAAACAACAGGCCACCATGCAGTACATGAATAGGAAATAGTCACATAATAGCTGTGCATATTCTGAAATGGAGAACTGGACTCTTCCATTTTGTATCATCATCCACTCTTGAGAAGCAGGCCTCTCAAGCCTCAAGAAGGGTCCCCTGCACATGTTCCCAGGACTGGGCCCTCATTGCCCAATCTCCTGTTACATTACAAACAGTAAGCAAAGCAGGATTTTGTTTTCTGTATACCTGTCAATGAATCATACTACCCCGAAGATGTGGTCTGCTGGCAAGTGTCTGATCTCATTTCAACAATTCTAAGGAATGTGTTCAAATGTATAAGAATGAAAGTGTTTCCTCAGTTGATAAGGGATCAAAAGATATTAGTTTTCAGGAAAAGAAATTCAAGCTATCAATAGCCATATGAAAAAGTGCCCCCAAATCACTAATAATTAGAAAAATACAAATTAAAGCTGCTCATATACATCAAATTGGCAAACCTGAAAAATAAATGAAATGACAAATGTTGGAGTGTCTATGGGAAAACAAGCATTTAACATTGTTGGTGGATTTATGAATTGATATAACTATTCTTAAAAGTAATTTGGGGGGCAGCTAGATGGCTCAGTAGATAGAGCACCAGGCTGGATTCAGGAGAACCTGAGTTCAAATCTGGCCTCAGACGCATAACACTAGCTGTGTGACCCTGGGCAAGTTGCTTAACCCCCATTGCCCAACCAAAAAAAAAAATAATAATTTGGGAACTATACCCTGAAAGTTCTGAACTGTACATACCCTTTGGCCCAAAGGCATCACTACTAGGCTTCTACCCCCAAAGAGATGAAAGAAAGATGAAAAGGTCTCCCATGTACAAAAATACTTATAACAGTTCTTTTTGTGGTAGGAAAGACCTGGAAACCAAGGGGCATCCACCATTTGGGGAATGATTGAACAAAGGCTATATGAACATAATAGAATCATGTATATAATATGAGAAATGACAAAAGAGAATGGTTTCAAAATAACATGGGAAGATTAGTATAAACTACTGCAGACTAGAGGGAGCAGAACCAAGAGAAGAATTTATACTAGAACAACATTGTAAAAGCCAACAACTTTGAAAGAACCGATAAATATAACAAGACAACGTTGGATTAAGAGTCAGGAAATCCGGGGGCAGCTAGGTGGCGCAGTGGATCGAGCACCAGCCCTGAAGTCAGGAGTACCTGAGTTCAAATCTGGACTCAGACCAAACACTTGACACTTACTAGCTGTGTGACCCTGGGCAAGTCACTTAACCCCAACTGCCAAAAAAAAAAAAAAGAGTCAGGAAATTCAGCCTCAAACACTCATTTCATGGTCTGGGCAGGTTATCATAACCTCCCTTAGCCTCAAGTTTCCTCATCTGCAAGTTAATGATAATAATAACACCTACCTCTCAGGGTTCCTGTGAAGATAAAATGAGAATATTTGTGAAACATTTTGCAAAACCGTAAAGTGCTATATAAATTTGATTAATGTTACCTGCCTCCTGATACAGAGAGAATGGATTAAATATACAGAATGAGACACATTTTAGGGACATGGCCAATATGGCTTTTTTTTTTTTTTTTGGCTTTACTATGTACTTTGTTACAAGGGTTTATGGGGAGGGGCAGGGAGGTGGTAGAGAGAGAAAATAAATATTAATTGAAAAAAACATTTTTTTAAAACATGCAGTTTATTAGAATCAGAAAGGCCTCCCTGTTCTTTTCTCTTATTTTTGTCTAGAATATTCTCATTATATCTTCTGAGCTGAACAGGTAATTGAGTAAGAAGAAAAGGGGCCAGATCATATTTGGAAAACTACAGTGCTTTCAGAGATCCTGAGTTGCTTCCTAACAGTTTCCTATTTCCTGTTTATCCTTCTACATAGCTTATTTTACATATTTGTTTGCTTGTTGTCTCACGGCTAGACAGGAAGCTCCTTTAGGCAGGGACTGTTTTTTACCTTTCTTTGAATCCCCAGTGCTTAGCTTAGTGCCTGGCACATAGTAGGAGCTTAATAAATGCATTCATCTTTATGCTGATTGATCTTTACACACTATTATTCTCCTGAGGACTGCCACAACCTTTGAAAAAATAAAAATCAACAGGAAACTGGAAGGGAAATGAAGGACTCCATGGTGGGGATGATACACCATAGCATGACTCACAAACAAGACAGGACATGAAAATGTATACTCGGGAAGTAAGGTGGGCTAGTCATGTGAATGTGAAATGTCCCACAACCCAGAGGAAGGCCTCCCTAACATATTGGGTAGATTATTTCTGGAAGTTTTATAGAAGGACCTAGATAACTGTTGCATGGGATAAGAAGGCATTGAAAGGGCTATGATCTTCATGGTGGGAGAGAATGTCCACAGATAAGATCATAAATGCTTCAAAACAAGAGGTAGTCTACCTTAGAGGAGTGTGGTGAGGAAAGTGCTTTGGGAACCTTAAAGGGTAATGTGAAAGTGAGCTTATTATGAGTAGTAATGGGATGGTGATGATGATATTGACCAAGAAGAATAAAGACAGAGTTGGGGAGGTAACTCAGAAAAATGCACCCCCTCCCATGCCTTCCTTCCCTGGGGCTTTCCGTGCATTTTAAATGACTATAAAAAGGCAAAAGAAAATGAGAGATTCTGGATAGAGAACAGGAGCATAAAGGGTGTTATAAAAACGAAGGAGGTTTCACCTTCTCTGTCTCCAAAATGCATATAATCCCAGGGTTGTTATCAGATCTGGTTTTGCATCCTGGCCCTGCTTTGTGACCTGAGGAAGTTATTTAATTTATCTGGGCCTTGCTTTCCTCATCTGTGAAAGGGTTTGGCCAAGAGAACGTTGTACATAGTAACAGGCACACTGTGCAATGACTGACTTTGATAGACTTAGCTGTCAGCAATGCAAGGATCTAAGACATCTCCAAAAGACTCATGATGGAAAATGCTATCTGCATCCAGAGAAAGAACTATGGAGTCTGAGTGCAGTTGGAAGCATACAATTTGCTCTCCTTTTGTTTTGTTTTGCTTCTTCTTTCTCATGGTTCTTCCCACTACTTCTAATTCTTCTTTACATCATAACTAATGCAAAAATATGCTTATTATGAAGGTATAAGTAAAGCCTGTATCAGATTGCATGCTCTCTTGGAGGGGAGGGGAAAAAATTTAAAACTCAAAATTTTATGGAAGTGAATGTTGAAAACTAAAAATTAATTACAACAAAAAAAAAGGGTTTGGTTTTGGCTGCCTCTGAGGTGCCTTCCAGCTTTAAATCTATAATCCTATGACCTTGGGCACCATCTGTAAAATGTAGAGGTTGTACTAGATTCTGTGGTCCCTGACAACTCTAAATCCTGTGGTCCTCCTTTGTCAGTATTCCTATTTGTGGCCAGGAGTTCTTTGCTATGCTTCAAAGAAAAATTAAATGAGCCAAATAGTGCTGGAAGCAATAGGTCTTTTTATTTGGCTCATTACAGAAAGGGCCATATAACTTAACTAGAGATGCCCAAGGAAGCCAGAAGCAGGAAGGGAAGGTCACTGGGGCAGCCTACAGACCCCTCACACAGGGGCCTGGACTGTCATCTCTAAACTGAGACAACCCACGGTACCTTCCTCCACCACCAAAGCTGGGACCAACACCTCGGAAACAGGACTGAGAAAGGGCAGATCAGAATCATGCAAAATGGGATATTGCCAAAGAGCCTTGGGCAAAGTGGCTTTGGGCCATCACAGGAGGGAGTCTGGGATCGTTTTGCAAGAGGCTGACCCCAGGACTGGGCACAGTCTTGCACCAAGCTGTGGCAAGGAATTCTGAGTCCCTGCTTCAGGACGGGTTTATAGAAAAGGGTTGGGTGCCACTCAGGCAAGTGCAAATGATTGATTTCCCGCCTGCGAGGCCATAGGCATGGAGGCAACTAGCAGCTAGAGTTTCAGAGCAGGAGCAGGGAAGAAGGGGGCGAAGGATAACAATCAAGAAAGTGGGTATTGCTAGGGCCCTAGAGAGCTCCTTGGACTGGGAAGACAGGGAAGAAAAATCAAAGGTTTTTCTAGACCACAACACTGCACCGATCTCTCACCAAAAAATATTTATCGAGAATCTACTATGTGCCAGCAGAACCAGCGTCCACTAACTTGCCAAGAGAGACAGAAAATACATCACGTGCTTGGCCAGTGGCCAGTAGAAAGGGTATAGCTGGGAAGGGGAAAGGACCTGACTGTCCTAGAGTAGAAAGTTAAAGGTCACAACATGGCTCAGGTGGACTAGGCAGAATGAGCCAAGCTTCAGGGCCCCTCGGAAAGGTGACCACAGGAAGCTCCTGGAAGGGATTATTTACAGCTTCTGACCTGAGCCAAGAGAATGAGTAACAAGAGGCTGAGGAACATGTGACTTACCTCAACAGGATACAAATTGTGTCCTGAAATTCCCTCATACCACTCAAGTACAAATGTGTCCTTGAACTACCTGTGTGGGCTGGCCCACTTTGGGACAGAGAGGGAGAAAGGAGGATGGCTATAGCTACAAGGCAGCGTAATCCAGGGGGGAACAGAGAGTGCCTTCTTCCTGAAACTGTTCCATTTACTCTGAGTATATCTTCTGTGTACATTGTTGTTGGGTTGTGTGACTCCCCCCTTAAATGT